GGTCTCTCGATGGCAATGAGTGGGGTGGGGTGGTTGCAGATCAATAATCAGCACCCTGCGGTTGGTGTAAATCAAGGCTCGAATCTCTGACAGGCTGCAGAAGCCAGGAATACCTCGCCTAACGTTTTTCCTCTGCCTCATTTCTGCATTACGTTGACCTAGATAGGAACCTCTGGTTAGATTTGGCTTCTTTCTGGCGGAAGGGGGATCGTTGCAAGGCTGGAGAAACGAGGGTCTCCCAAGGGGCCGCGGCAGCTCTTTCCTCCCCGATACCGCGCAGGCGAAGGCGCAAGTGACAGGTGGAGAATTAACAGGGGCTGGCAGCAGGGCCGTGGGGCAGCCTGGCTGACGTGGAGAGCTGGGGTGGCAACTGGGGACGGCTGATGTATTCAAGAAGGGAGGAAGACTGAGTGACAGCAAGGCAGGGAGCCAGTCCAGCGACGCCCGTTTGGTTGGTTATTAAAATCCAATGGAACTGCCACAGTGTTTATTAACAATTTGATATCTCTGGTTCAGTTTTTGCCACTTCCAGCCTTCCTTTCCCGCTTCGTTGAGAAATAGTAAGTTATGCAAGGCCAGCACCACCTCCTGAGTTTGGAAAGTGCCCGACGCCAAAAGTCACCCGAGCGGGCAACTTCAGAGAGCTCAGTAGAGGAGAGGGTGCAGCCAGGAGCTCGTTTCGCTTGCCCAGTCTGCCTGTTCTTCCTTGCACAAGAGAAGCCCACGGAGCGCTCTGCCCACGCGTAGGGAATGGGTTCTGTGCAAAGAGGTAGCGTGTGACAAATTGGATGCTTGTAACCACAGCTGTAGAGCTTCCTTGGACGGAGCAGGGTAACCAGCTATTATTTATCCTTGCTATCCCGCCATCGTGAGCTAGCAGCGCTACTCGTTTGTAACTTGGGCCGTTCCCAGAAAGACAGCAGGTTGGATTTGAGAGGATGGCAGTGCAGGATCACAGCACTCTCACTTCTAAAAGCAAACCTGCGATGGTGGAGACCTCAGAATGAGATATTCCCCAAATCAGAGGGCCTGCCTTTGCTTCCCAGGTACTCTCAAAGAGAAGTTAGCCTGTGCGTGCTAATGCAGTTTAATGAATTTTGACAAGGTCACAAGAGCCCATTTGTTGCTTGTCTGCTTTGTCCTTGCTTGCACAGACAAACGAAGCTTTCCCATTCTTAGCCATAGACAACCTCCAGTCAGCTTAAGTGTGTGCGTGTTTATATTTTAAAATATTTCTATTCTCTTGTCAGGTGTTCAATTTGAAACAGAGCTGCCCAATATACTAATCAGCAGAGGAAGGGGAAGAACATGATTTGGTGCTCTTCTTATTTCTGTTGATTTTGTCAAATAGCATAAGCCCTCTTGAAGAAGGGGAGAAGGAGTTGGAATAAATCAGCCCCTTCCTGGGGAATCCAGGGCCAGACGAAGGAAAGAGGCAGTAAAAATGTTTTTAGTAAGGGAAGAGTCTAGAAAAGGATAGACATGTTTTAAAGAGAAGGTCTTGAGACATCTGAGGGTACCAACTAAATTATCTGCAACAAGCAGCTTCTTGAATGACTCAGGTCAGGAGCTCCTCGTCCTGAAAGTCGTAGTGCCTGGGTGATGATCTCCTGCCACCGTTGTTCTTGGCATGTCCGAGCCAGCCAGCGTCCCTCCAATACAAAGCTTCATTACTGTCCCCTGCACTGGCCAGGGCTGCCACAGCAGCACGTTCATGGAGAGCAGTTGCTGGGAACTGGGGGGGAAAATGCTGGCTCCTCACGGACGGCAGCAGCACAGAGCACAGGGGTAAGAACCACAGCTGCTCAGTGGGGATTGCTGGAGCAAACCTCTCAGCTAGCCTGCCCAGCCCAAGAAGGGATTTCTGCAGTTGATACTTCATACTTACGTGCCTGGTGAAATACTGTCCTCCATGTCTTCATTTGGGTTGTACTGGCAGCAGAGGGCTGATGATACCCAAACCTCCCTTCTCACCAAAATTATTCTATGGTTTGGTTGGTTGCTTTAAGGATGGTATCTTTCTCTCTCAAATTTGGGGTTGTAGTCAAATCTATCTTAAGCAAAAGCAATTTGAAAATTGCTACTAAAAAAAAAAAAAAAGGCAATTTGAAAATTGTTGCTGTGGAGTTAAACTGTGGAGTTATCCCTGCCTGCGCTGGGGGAAATTGGGCTTCTGGATTTTATGGTCCTTGTGCAAATATTCACCTGGGAAATAGGAGTCTTGCTTTTCAAGACAACGTAACATGCAGCTCATTTCACTGCCTCTCTTACAGCCAGGCTTCTCACGAGGGCTAAGCAAGAGCATCCTATTTAAAAATCCTGTTCCGGTTTTGGAATGCCCATGCCATCTGAAAGCTCTGGCCTTATTTTCTCTGTTTATATCCAGTAATAGTCTTGGGGAAATGGAGTTCTGTTTTCCCATCACATTTACTCCCCAGTGCAACAGTTAAAAAACTATTTTCTCAAAGTGTTTAGAGAGCCCAAATTTTTCCCCAGTAACTCAGAGCCTAGGAATGTCCTATGGCAAAAGAAGTGCTGGCAAGGACGCGCGTGCCAGCATGTCAACTGGCCAAGTATGGGAGATCCCCCACCACTTCCTGCCTGAAGGTTCCCAGGGTGCAACTTGGGAACACACTGTGTTTACTTTGGATGTGTGAAGCCCCTGTAAAGATTCTCTATACATGTCTGGGTTTAAATATATGAAGTTATGCTCTACCAACATGTTTCAGCCTACGCGGGGCAACATCTGTTGGGACATGCAACTCTGGCTTAGTTTTAGCCAAGAAAATGAAGGAAAACAATTTCATCCATCATTAGAACAACACTTGGGAGAAGGCTTAGGCCTTGTTCCATTTCCTAAAGCTAAGCAAATTTTGGCCTCCTCAGCCCAGAGGAATAATCAAACCGCCAATGCTTCAGTGAAGGTGGTCACTGCAGAGCAGCGCTTCACGCCACGCGTAGCACGGCTGACGCGAGAGGGCTGGCGGGTAACAGCGAACGGCGCACTGAAAGCAGCTCTCCTCGTTTGGCATCGGCTCTCACTTGCAGCGGTTTTTGAGTGCAACCCATGCTAAAGCAATGCAACTGGGGGTTACGGGACAGAAGCACCCATTGCTCTAGTAAGGGATAACTCTTAGAGGGTAAGGGGAAAACAGCTGTGTAAAAACGTCTCTTTGCCACAACGCCATCCAAAACGGCTGAGTCTGTTGGTGGAGGGTTGGCGAACTCCTCATAAACCTTGATCAGCAGCTCTCCGTAGTACGCAGACCTGCTTTTCCATCTGCCATGATGATCACGTACAATTAACTTGCGTCCTCTCACTTTCCTCCAAAAGTCTGGGTAAGCTGGATACTGGCACGGCAATGTCTGATACTAATCCTGAACTGCATCTGTAGCCTAAGCAACTGTCGGCACAAATCTGCAATCTTCCCTCTGCCCACCAGTTTAGAAAGACGCGATGAGAGAGTGCTGGTGTGAGTCCAGCTGAGTGAGCCACCGGGCAGCTCTCCCATCTTCCCAGGTCAGAGGAATGCACGTTTGTGGTCCATCACGTGAACGTAGGCTGAATTTAGGGGTGGTCATTGGCCATTTGCTCAGTGACCTTCACGTGCCCATTGCAGAAGGAGCCGCACAAGGTGTGCCCACCTCGTGCCCTGCAGCCTCGTGCACCCTACGGTGATCGTCCGGTGACACCGTTGTCTGAGAGTTGCCGGCTGTCACATAGTGACTCTTGGGCAAAACTGTGATGTGCTGAATGATTAGTGTAAAAATTAGAAGTTAGTCATACCCACCACAGCCCTTGAGTGGATCTGGTTACACTGGGCTTAGATGGTAGGGCTTTTCTGGCGATGCGAGCTGTTACGAGATGCGAATTATTTTTTATGCTGTTTTTCATTATTTTTCATGGTCCCGGCTGACTGGCAGCGCTTGCCGCTGCAGGCCAGGGCCGGGAGAGGCTTCGCTGCGAGCCGGCTTGGAGCAACGGTGACTTTCTATGGTTTTCCCGCTGCTGATGAGAGACTTTTCTAAATGCTGCCTCCCTCAGTTGATAAACACGGACATGATGCTTATTTCCCTTAACTTGAAGCAGCAATGTTAATGTCTGATTAATCCTATGACATACAGGTCATGCTTGTTAAAATCGAAAGCCAGATTATTCTATTTGGAAAAGATTGCCGTATTACGCTGCGTTAGTACTAGAAGCACTGTTTTCGGTTTCACTTTCTTTACATGTGTAAGGCAGGGTTTCTTCCTTGAGATTTGTGGATTTACAGCTCTACCATTTCTTGCAGGTCAAGATATTTATATAATTGTATTTCGAAAACACTTCCGTTTTTATGAATGAGTCGCAATCCTTCAAAAGAACAAAGCCCATACTGCCTTAGACTTATTTACTGGTTTCTGAAATCTAAAACATCTGTGATTAGGAAGCTTGAAAGTCTGTTTAGATAGATAGTTGAGAATTTGTTTTGGTTTGGTTTGTTTAGAAAGTATGCCAGTTATTTCAGATGTTCTGCCTATAAAGAATGTAAAACAATTTAGTTGTCTCAGGTCTGAATTTCATCTGAGTCACTGGCAGAAGGTCACTGAATTCAGTCCAGGGTTTCATTCAGATCTGCCATTGTTTAGACCTAAAAAATGTTACCATAAAAATGTTGGCATGTTTGTTATTCAGGGAGTATAATGTCTTAATTGAACTGGTACCAGAAACTATTTAAAAAACTTCTATTACAGTTCACATGACAGACAGTATTTTGTAGCTTTAACATCTGTTTTAAGGCTAACATGTGAGATTTAGCCTTTGTCTGACTGTAGCTCTTCTGATTTCGGTGAAGTTGCACCCACTTAAATCCTGATTGAATTTGTCTCACGAGGTTGGCTTTTTAATTGTATGATTTAATTTTCTTTATCTCCAAGCCAGTGTTACAGCATGGAGCTTCAGAGCATGTTAGAGTACGGTCAATAACGGATCCTTCCTTCTTCCTTTTTTATCTTCCCAGTTACAGGGATCCATTAAAAGAAAACTGGAAGACGATAGCTCTCCTGCCTCCGGTGGCGTGCCTGATGTCATTTTCCCAAATGACAGTAAAAGACTTTGTCTTGATGACGTAAACCTTGCCATGGGCCAAGGTGCCAATCCCAACGTGGCGTGTCCAGAAATGCAAAGCTCTCCGTTCTCCACCAGTCACAGTACTTCTTCCCTGGGAGTCGCGGGTCATTCGGTGCTCCTCGAGAACAGTCACATGAATGGTGGTGGCATTGGTTCCCCTTTTTCAGTGCCACCCAACACGGAAATAAATCAGAAGGGGTCAATAGGAGGGCAAAACAACAACATTGTCCACTATGATGAGAAAGGAAACAGCTTGCAGTCTGTGGACCAAGAGCTGCAAGATCTATTGGAAGAGCTGACAAAAATGCCCGATCCTTCTCCCAACGACCTGGATCTGGAGAAGATTTTGTGCAGCAAGGCTGAAGAGCCGCTTGGGCTGAGTCATTCTCAACCAAACATAAGCACCACTCCAAAGTCCTCCCCGCAGAATTCCCACTTGGAGAACCATGTTGCTAACAAAGATTTTTCTCCAGGCTGCAATCCAACCAGTGGAGGATCTCCTCAGATGAGACCATCATCTGCTGGAGCTAACTTCCAAGTTCCTCCCTCAAACAAAGCTGCTGCATCCCCCATCTCTACAGCAGCTCAGAGCAAGAACCAGCCACCACCTATGCTTCCAGTGCCCCTACCCAACATACCTGGCTCCAACTGGCACGCTCAGCAGCTAAAGCAGCTGGCAGCTAGCAAGCAGGTGTCTACTACTAAGCAACAAGTACAGGCTCCCAGCTGGCCAACTATGTCTCCTCCTGGTCTCTCTCCACCTTACAGGGCAGGATCATCCCCACACCATCAACCTTTCAGTCCCCAAAACGTTATGGTGTCTGGCATGCCTGCTAATAATTTACCAGGAAACAACATTCAGAGTCCCCAAAACACTCTGCTTTCAAGCATGACTTCCAGCAGCACCCCATCCAGTGGCCCCTCTCCTCCTTACGGCTCTGAGAAGCTCTCCAGCCCGGCTCTGAACCAGCAGCCCTTCAGCCCGCAGAGCTCCATGCTGCCCGCCCTGACAGCAGGCAGCTTACCAGCGAACAACATTAAAAGTCCTCAGAACAACTTGGTTGCCAGCATGGCCTCCACAAATACCGGACCTTCTCCGCCATACAGGCCAGAAAAGCTGTCGAGCCCAGCTCTGCATCAGCAGCCCTTCAGTCCTCAAGGTACATTAATCTCTAACATCACTCCCACCAGCAACCCCACAAGTATGCAGAGCTCGCTTTTTAAATCAATGACTACAAACCAGTCCAAAAACATGAACATAATTATGCAGCAGCCATCCAGTAGCTTACAGCCAGGTCTGGTGAATGAGAGCCCTGTTAGCCAAGACCAGTTCTCTTTCAGTAACACCAAACCACTGTCTCACTTTGCCTCAGAGTCGGCTCCGCAGAAGCTGTCACCTCTGACAGCAGGACAAGGGCAGCAGTCCCTCATTCACTATCTCCAGCAGCCGCCGCCGGCCGCGCAGCAGTCCCCGCAGGCTAACAACAGCCAGTTTCTCCAGCAGCAGTTTCGGCAGCTGATCCAGCCCCATCGGATGCAGAGACACGTGCAGCCTGCCACATTGCCGTCTCAAAGCAGACAGGTGAGAACGTCTCTTCTCTCTTATACGGCCTATGTGAAAATACTGAGTCATGTATTTTCTTACTCTTACTTTCCTTTGTGTTTCAAATGCGACATCGCTAAGCTTCTGGGGCGTGCACAGGGTTTGCAAGGACAAGGCAGTAATGACATCATGGTGTTACCAGGAGTAACTTTATTTATTTCTTCCATTGAAATGTACTGCAATCCCACCATGCACTGTCTCTTCTAGCCCAGTGGACAATTTTATGCTATTAGGCAAAACAGGTTTCATACCACTAAAATAAGCGATTTTTACATGTATAGGTGGTATTCTTATTTAGCTTGTACTGTAAGCTGTAGAGATGTTCCCATAACATGTTTCCCATCATCTTTTTAGTGGGAATGTACTTTTTTTCCTTACTGCCCTTCAGCAAATTCATCTTTGTGCTATGCTTCTGAGGCTAGAAAAGATCAGGTGGGGTGAGAAGTGAAGTTAAAATACGACTCCTTCATGGACAGGAGGTCAAACAGTACGAAGAGGCAGACCTGAAATACCTGTTACCAGCATTTGCCAGGAGCAATGCCCTGCTTTGGATGAGGGCCATTCCCCACCCCTTGTTGATCTGCAATACCAGCGGAGCTGGTAAATGCAGAAATGCAGCTGGCAGGAGTGAGACAGGGCCCTGATTTCTCCCCAGCAACCTTCTTCCAGAGACTGAAGGAGCAGTGCGAAGCACTATCTGCTACCACCCCAGATAAGGGAGATTTACTGGGAACGGGGACTTGGGAGCAAGGGCAGGCTTGGGGACTTGGTCTGAGAGCAGCCTGGGTGTGAGGAATAAACAGCTATCGTTTTGGGAGGAAGAGTAGTAGGGAACAGGCTGAACCTCACCCCCAAAGCCAAGTACCTTGCCAGGCTGAACCAAGGCTTTGGAAGCAGAATCCTTCAAGCTCTTCAGCTGTGCACGCAGGCGCTCCACCAGCTCCTCGTGAAGGATTGAAGCACTCCTCGCCCAGCAAACCACAGGCTGATCCCTGAAGCTCGGCTGGAATCCCCTTGAGAGCATGGGGCTTGGAGGGGGACTACACCCCAGAGCCTGGGTGGCTTTGCTCTTCCTCCCTGCTAAGTTACTGGTTCTTAGGTGGATTTCTTCAGTGTAGGTGACGTGGTGTAGCCTTGCCCCGTGATAGCAATGAGAAATAAGGGGTCAGTTACTAAATGTCAGCTTCTCTGGGGTCACTCAGTGAGGTGCATTTCCACTGTGCCGCTTCAGGACCACCTCTTTTCCAAGCTGTGCGTGCTCCAGATGCCCTCGCTTTGGTAACAGCAGCTCAAAACAGACAGCTGGGGAGGGCTGGTGACTTGCCGAATTGGCTTATCCAAATATATAGCATGTCACAATGTGGCATATATAGTTCACTTTAAAGGGTTGTCAAAATAAGCCCCCTAATTTAATAAAGGCCTGAAGCCATTACGTTGCGTTAAGCACTTGAGGACCCCCAAGTTTGTGTTCAGTGGGACCCAAATGAAACACAAAGTAGAGGGGGCTTGCTGGCTTGGGATCTCGGCGTACAGCTGGACATACTGATTGAAAGTGAGTAAGTTGCTGCAGCTTCATGAATTACTGCCCATCAGACATTTTACTGTGGCGGCAGTGTGGGTGAAGAGTGCATTCACGGTGTTTTACTGCACCTGGGACGATGGCTGGTAAGTTGTTCACTGCAGTAACATGATTGCTTTTGATCGTATGTCCGTAAATGTTAAGCATTTTTAGGTTTTTTTCCTGGTTCCCCTGCTGGATGCGGGGAATTGCCACGTCCCTGTTGGATTCCTGAGGTTTCCTGAGCTCTAGTTTCCCCTTGCTTTGCATTTTTGTCTTACACCTCTGAACCCCCTACATCA